TAGTTCTACATGCAGTTTTAAATGTTTCTGAGAAAGTTAAGCAACCTGTTACTGGATTTTTTTGTGACAAGATAGACAATGTGTATTCAGTTTACATTACTATCATTTTGACACTATGTTTGAGGAACTACTGCTGAGGAAGCACACTATTGTTAACATCATTGTGTTTAGTTGCATAATTGATATTGCATTTTCAGTCTTTACTAAGATTGTCAGTGGCTACTTTAAATATAATATAAGTTCTCTTAATGTAGATAAGCAGAAGTATCAGTGCACGTTATCAATAATCATATTTCCCACTTTAAACACAGTATCTGGTCACATAAGTGATGCCATGTTTAAAATGTGGAAAAGTAATGCCATGTTTAAAATGTGGAAAAGTAATGCCATGTTTAAAATGTGGAAAAGTAATGCCATGCTTCTATCCTATTCTTTTAAAAGAATGAAAATATATCTGGATAAAAAATTTGGTTTTGGTTCCTTGAATTTAGCATTTTTTCTCATCGTAATTATCTATGTTAACTTTTTGTTTTACTTCATTGTAAGGAAAAGAATATTCATCTTAGTAATCGCAGCTTGTAAATAGTACTCTGTTATTTCACATTATGAATTTTGTTCATCTATTTACACAATAGGCTGATCTACCTACAGAAAATGCTGAAAATGATAGCCATTATATTCTAAACACTTATCCACAAGTTTTTCAACATTTCAGACATAATTGCCTATATTGTAATAGTAAAGTTTGTCCTTAGTTTATCCATAGTATGCTTATTGTTCCATAAACTTTTTTCTTCAGAAAAACCCATAAAAAGTCCAGACTTGAGGTCCGGAAATTATGGCAATTCAATGCAGTCAATTTGCTGCAAGGTTAACTCAACACAAGTATTATAATTGCTGGATTTGAAGAACTGCTGCTGAGGAAGTGCACACTATTGTCAACATCACTATGTTTGGTCACCTAAGTGTAAAGTGAAATTTATGATTTTATTTCTACATTTGCTGCTTTCATATTTGGAAGTTACATGAAAAGATAATTTTTACATAACCTCCAAATTTGAATTGTTATAAAACTCTCAGTGCATAGAAAGGCTCTATACTGGTAATTTTATAATGATATACAAGTCAGAAAGCAAGTTAAAATATTAAAAAATTTTAGATTAAAAAACATTACCCATCGAATTAGATTATTAAAATAAGTTATAGAATGATTATTGTTGTATTTCTATTATTCAATTAGCTATTTGCTTATGTATAATGATAGAAAACTTTAATTCTGACTCAAATAAAAATAAAAACGAAACACTAAATACCAAGATTCAATAGTCTTGACTTTGATGCACAAACCAATTTCACAAATTGGACAAATATATTTCAGGAGAAGGTTACATTGATTTGTTTTTATTGTTTACTAATTAAGATTTGTTGAAGATTATGTAAAAATGGAGGAAATAAACAAAGAAATGTATAAAACTTTACAAATTCGAAATACCTTAGAAATATTTGCTTTACTGGAGTATTTAGAATTCATAGTGATGAATTTTTTGTTTTATCTTCTAATTCCTTAACAATGTAATTGCAGTCAAACCCCATTTATCTGGATCAAATCGAACTGGAACAATCTAGATAAACAAAAATTTGGATACTGAAATTAATGGGATATTAAAATAAAAGTTTAAAATTCCATACTGAAAATACTTTTTGACAAGATTATGTCTTGTTTATAAAATCGTGGTGCCGTCCTGGCTTACCAGCTTAGAGGTATGAAAGAGTACATGTCAGGAGTTGCAATTTGGTACAGAGTATTGGGTGCCCAAATCATGCGCACATAAAAAAATCCAGACTTGTAGGTACTCAAGGGACCAAGAACTTAGTCAAAGTAAAATACAAAATGGTGACACTCTTTCTACGAACAGGCACTAGTGTGAGATTTGTGCATGTGTTGCTCATTGGGAAGTTGTAAATGCAAACGTTGGGAAATTGAATTTTGACAAATGAATCTTTGAAAANTCTTTTTGTTGAAAGATTGATTTTAAAATTATGTGTTTCTAAATCAAGAGTTCATTTTAAGCACAGTACAGTACTATTTGTTTATCAAAGAATAATTTTTGTTGATTTTATGTTACCTTGTATTTACTAGATTTACATACAAATAATAATGATAAATGATGATAAAATAAAAAGCTTGTGTTTTGTTTGTAAATTGCTTATTTTTTCATTACATTGAAGTTGTGGATTCTATCAAACATTTTTCTACAGGATGTATGTACTGTATTTTTTTAATGTGCAGTCTTTGAAGTATATCAACCATGCAAAAAGAGGGCTAGATGTACTCAATTTTCACAGTAAATGCTGTTTTGTTATGTCGATATTCCACACTAAAAAATGTGAGGGTCAGGGAATTTGGACAAAGTTGGTCAGGGAAAGTCAGGGAATTCAAAACAAGAATTTGAGTAGGAACCCTGTAGCTGGCACTAGTCATTATAATTTTATATTAAAATTAACTTCCAAAATATAATTTTTTTTTGTTTTTACATTTCTTAATATATATATATATATATTTTGTTTGTGCAAAATAAAAAATTTCAGACGATACAATAGCCATGATTATTTTTTTTTAAAAACAGGAAATTTTCATTGGGCATTGACAAAAGTTCAACCCAGGATGACATGTGACTGAGAGAAATTTTGACATTGGATAGATATAAATATGTCATAATAACCTTGTATGACTTTGCAGATAATACTTAGAATGTAACACTAACATTTTCGACCCATTTCTAGGGTCGTCTTCAGGTGTTCTATAATTTTTTTTTCTTTTCTAGTGTGATATGAGTTTGATTCTGATTTTTAAACATTCCAATCTCAATGCTTCTATCATCAAAAATTTATTTTTTAAAATTTGAAAGATAGAAGCATTGAAGATTGAAACGTTTAAAAATTGGAATCTCATATAAAATTCATATTGCACCAGAGGGGGGAAAAATTATAGAAGACCTGAAGACAACCCTAGAAATGGGTCGAAAATGTTAGTGTTACATTCTAAGTATTATCTGTAAAGCTATACAAGGTTAGTGTGACGTATTTATATTTATTATCGCTTTGTTTGTTGAATGGATTTCACATTGGCTAGGTTAATTTCACTGAAAATGCATCGTGGACAACCTCGTGGTTGGCTAGCAAAGTATGAACAATCAGGCTCAAAACCAGTGATACAATACAAATACAAAACCAGTGACAATACCGAAGGGCCTCCCTATCCTTTGGCACCATGGGACTGAAGGGTCGACATTGCAATGAGAAGTTTTGTTAAGACTGACTGACACCATGTCTTTATGGACACACAGACAAACCGTTATGTTCTCGTGCAAACAGATTCAGGATGGAGGGAGAGACAACGACCGGAAGTGACTTATGCAGAGATGAGTTAAAGTAACAACTGTTTAATTGGTAACTATAGGCCATACAGGACATACAATATATTGAGAGAGAGAGAGTTTTACAGTAAATACACGTGGCAATAAATACCTTGAGTTTTAGTGATTCGCTAGTAGGTCTTGAGGCTCTTGACGACGTGTCCAGTTAGGCAGTCAAGTATTTTGGTTTGACTTCTATCCAGATAATAGGCACTTAATAAGTCTGATGGACGACAAAGTTAATCCAGTGAAAAGCACAACGCACATGGAAAAAGATACAGAGCTTGTGACTGATCTCTTCTAGGACAGGGCAACAACTGCTGCACTTTGTTGTACTGTTGAAATCGAAATATTAGGTCAAGAGGTGGTGAGAAAGCGTCGTCGTCAGGCCTGAGAACTTAATAGATGTTTTGTTCTCAGGTGCGAAAGTTGACAGTTATTTAACAAAAGTATAGCTACGATGTGGTGATAGGAGATAATGATATAAACATACTGAAAGTCTGGATCGGATCCTCACATCACCAAAGAAGATTGAAGAATGAGAACAAGACCCGCCGTGAGCTCAAAGTGATCCAGCTTAGTAGCGAGTCTGAGACATAGTCTTGTCCCAAATACAGCCTTGCCGTTTTACTTGAAAATTAAACTTACATGCTTTACTGACTTGAAACAAAAGTTACATATATTTTATAAATAGGAACATAAAAATTACTCGTTATAAATTTTTATCCTTGCAAATGTAATATTACTACATAGGAACAGTACTGTGCATATTAAGGTTGTAAATGATGATTCAATGATCTCACAAACATTGCAAAAAGTAATTTTTTACAAAAATTTAAAAAGAAATGATTATTTAACCTATCCATGTTGAATTTTTGTCAATGTTAAGCCTAACAAAAAAAATTTTTTTTTCAAATAATAATCGTGGCTACTGTATTGTTAAAAATTATTTTATTTTGCACAAACAAAATATATATATTGAAAAATATAAAAACAAAAAAAATTATATTTTGAAAGTTTGTTTTAATGTAAAAATTATGATGCATAGTGACATCTAGTATTAAAAAACATACCGATACTGTAACGAGATGAATCGGGTTTAACCCAGCGGGTCAAAGGTCACAACCCTGATATATGTCTGGAATAACACAGGTGAGGTTAAACCAGTTAAGATGAACAGGATCTGGATAAACAGTGTTTGTATTTTTAATAGATTATGGAACCTGTTACTGTGAAGATGCAAGCATTGCCTGAAGTGGACAAAAGTCCAAATGTGCTGAAATTTGTTTTGTTCTAAGTTTTATACTCTATTAAAACAGAAATAAATTAAGACTTTTTGATCATTGCTGCTGTTGATTTATTTGTGAAGAAATATATAAACTATTTAATTTGTTCTTGATTAGATGGTTGCTGTGTATTATTATTACAATGCTAATATCATTGAATTATTTATTTATTTTTTGGTTCACCATTATTTTTGGATCATTCAGTATATTTATTTGATTTTAATGTTTAACTTCCTTTCTTTATTAAAAATTTTGTAATATGAGAATGTATTAATTATAATTTAAATATGCTTTTCAGTTATTATTAGGTTTATTAACTCCAATTGATATAGTAGTGCCTATGAGTGGTCCTCGATCGTCCACCCAATCAACCCATTCGGAATTACATAATTTGCTTCCGGTATCAACCACAACTGGACGTTTTTCACTTCTTCCTATTGTAACAAAAGTCCAGCAATCCGTATCAATAGAAAAAGCAAGTGAGGTAATTATTATTATTATTATTATTATATTCATAATTGTGTTCGAGTTCTTGAGTCATAGTTGATTTGTTTTCAGTTATCACCTCTGAAAAGTATCTGCATGCATAGCTCCAGTCCAAATTTATCTAACAGTACTAACAATGTGCCAGTTACTAAATCTGCATCGTTTTATGACCGTGTTACTGCTATGAGTAGTAGTTGGTTTGGGGGGCAATAAATCTAATTTTGTTATTTATAAATGTAAGTATATAATAATTTTAATGGTTATTAAAATTTGAGTGCATAATAACTTTTCTAAAATAAGTACATTTATTTAGCAATATTATTTAAATTTTGACATAGTTAAAACAGAATATTTTAAGTAAACATGAGTCAATATAACGAAATACACATCTCCACAAATTCAAATAAATAAAAGTAACTAAATGAATTATTTAAAAAAATATGACATTGATGATGATAAATTTATTTAAAATATATTGAAAGTAAATCCCTTTTGATTAACAAATACTTGACATAAACTAATTAATATTCATACAGTAGATTCTGCTTATTCTAATGGTTCTCAGATTGTGGAATGTGCTTTCATAATGGAGTGTGAAACTCTTGATAAGGGACACAAAGAAATTACTGATGTTACTGTTTATAATAAAGTAAAACTCCTGTATTTCCAATACTTAATATGTCTTTAATGCAATATTGTACTTTTCAGTACAGTATAGCATTAAAAACACTCACTGACCATTTTATTTCATTAAAATTACTTTGTAAGCTATTATTGTGGTTATGACTAAAATTTATTATTTTCACATTTACTTGAATATAAGATGCAATTTAATTTCTACTAGATGCTTGTCTGTAGATTTTTATTTTTTAAATAGGCAACTCAATACAAATTTATGTCTACGGAACTGATTCTGTTGACATAAATTTGTTTGATATTTATTGTGAGTAAAATAAATTATATATCACTGTATATAAAAAATGGTATCAAAGTCAGAAACTTCACTTTCCATGTTGGCTCTTCTGAATCAACACTGGATTTATTGCTCACATCTTTCCATATACAATCATCATAAGTGTGGTTTAAAGCATCAGAAATACAACATTTCTTCACAACTTTTTCTGAAATTTTTATCCAAGTACTTATGACATTAGGCCGAGACTCCACTACGGTAAAAAGGGTATAAAAACCCCTCGCTGTAAAAGCTTTTAATCACGTGACCCTGATATTTTACGCTTGAGCAGGTCGTAAAACCATCATAAAAGCGAGTTGAACAGTGTTCAATGTTGGATGCGAATACAGCTGTTAAACGGTACCATCCACCAATCAGAAATCAGTTAAATCTAGGTCATTGTGACGTGGTGTGAAAATGGTGGAAAACGAGCTTTTGTGTACATTCCCTCGTGGCTACTCTAGAATAGATCTGGAAAGATTTATCGAAAACATCCAAAAGTATTCGTGTATCTACGACAAGAAGTATCCCGATTATAATAGTGGATGCCTAAATCACGCGATATGGACGGCCAAAGGAAAATCCTTCAATTTAGAGGAGTATATAATGAAAAAAGCTAAGCTGAATAAGTGCTGTATATTATCTTAATTAATAATACGATGATAAAAGTTAATATATGAAAGTAAAGATATTATTTTTACTACATTTGTAATTATAGTACAGAAAAAACTTGTAGAATATAATCATTGTCTTTATAACTTCGATAGTACTGTTGCCATAAAAACTTCGTTAGCCGGACCTCCACCGCAATCCAGACGCAAACACAAATAGGTCACGTGATTAAAAGTTTTTATGGTGAAGGTTTTTATGCCCGTTTTTACACTAGTGGAGTCTTGGCCTTACTGTAATAGACTAACGAGATTGAGCTAAGTGAACCTGTTAGATATTTGCTGTTATGAAAATTGGTCTAATAAAATCATTAAAATGATGCAGTAGAAATAGTGACAGAGAAATATGACAGACAACACTAGAGATCTGTAATTATGTCGCATTTCATTGAATCTAAGGCATACCCTATTTTCAGAGATACTAAAATCTGAAAACAAGTGCATCTTACATTAATTAAAGTCAATACAGTATATCATCAAATTTTGATTTCATTTAACAGTAAGTATCTCTCTGCACTATTTTACTTTTGTTTGCATGGAATATACAGTGGAACCTGCCGATACAACTACCTTCCTATAGTGATCAATTTTATTTGGCCTTAATTTACTCAACAGCTTTTAGGGATACTTTTTTTCTATGTAGTGACACCTGCTTATTGCATAATGTGACAACTATTAGATCTGGTTTTCCTGAAATGTAACCTATTGAAGTGATCACTTTACAGAAAAAAGCTAGTTGGTTGTGGGTTTTTGGATTACTGATGACTCATGTGGTATGGGTAATAATAAATTCTACTTGCAGGCCAACTTCTGCCTCCCACGAAAACTCCAGAAATAGCCCATTGTTTTCTACCATACTGAGTTTCTCTCTTATTTGTCATATATAAGTATATTCTGTAGTTTTGTATGTTTTGTTCATTACTGAGATTAAAATCTGTTCATCTACAGTTCTGCAGACTTCAATTATGGCTCAAACCAAGCCATACAGAGAGCTTTCTCTGAAAGAAAAAGTTGGGGTTATCAAATTTCTTGAATCCAATAGTCAGCAAAAAGCAGCAGCAAAGTTCAGGATAAAGTAAAACATGTTAACAACACTCATAAATGCAAGGCAGAATACCTTAAATGTTATTAGGACAATGAAATTTGAAACTGCTCAAAGTAAGAAAGAAAGTAAGAAAGAAAGTAAGAAAAAAAGCAAGAAAGAAAGCAAATTTTGAGATAAATGCTGCTGTTCTGAAATGGTTTTGGCAAATGCATGTCATGAAGGCTTATGTGTCTGGCTCAATGCTAAATGAAGTAGCATTCACATTCACAGAGAAAGTTCATATTCAGAACATTGATGCATCAAACGACTCACTTCAATCATTTAAGCAAAGACATGCCATTTCAGAGAAGGTATTGTGTGGAGAATCAAATGATCTAGATGATGCAACAGTGAAAAACTTCAAAGAAAGGATATCTTAATTTATACAGTTTTTGATGCAATTAATGTATATACTGCTATATAAAACCATAGCTGTCAGTCAACATTAATAGAAATAAATTCACAAAACATACAAAATAATGTGTCTTGGGGTTTATTTGTTATAAAGTGTGTATTCTCGTATAGCAACCATTTATCTTGATCCCAAGGATGTCATCTTACACAGATTCCACTGTAATTGTATAATACAGTTAAACTTGTCATACAACTTAAGACAGAAACCTGCCTAAATGGAATGATTTTCTATATTAAATTTTAATATAGGCCTGAAACCTGTCCAAATGCAGATTTTTTTTGGTACAAAGAATGTAACTTAACTTGGATAAAGTGGAAAATTAAGATTCCACGTGTAGAAAAATAAAGTAAATTGCTTCTAGGTATAATGTCATCATAGAGCATGAGAAATTATATTCCAAGAACAATTTTGAACTATGTTAGAGGGGAAAAGTCACATAAGTGGTCATATGGATGCAATGTTTTTGTTAGTATTAGTCAGTCAAATTAACCAAGGGCAGAACTGAATACTTTTAGGAATTGAGAACTTTCAAAACTTGGAATGAGATTCTGACAATCAAATTTACAAGAATAAACAATGAGAATAAGGTAACAGTGTTGCTGGTTTACCTTATATGGAGCAATTAGCATCTAACCAGTATAGAGTATTTGAGAACAAGTTGATTAACATTGTTGGTAATTAGAAATTAAAAGGCTTGAAATTGCTTCTTGCAATGCCAAAAACTTTAAGAAAAATACTAATACTGTCTTATCAGCATTATTATTTTTTACTTGAAATATTTTTACAAGTACTTTCAAAAATTATAGATTGTCTTCTTCAGGCATAGAATAATGAAATCTTAATGGAACCTTACAGTTTAAAAAATACATTAATGTGTTCCAAACAATAAATTTAAAATGCATTCCATTAGATGTGTCAATACATTTAAAAACATTAATATTAATAACAATAAACAAACCAGAAAAAAAAAACAAATGTATGAGTAATGTATAATTTAGAATTAACAAATTTTTTTCCTGGTTTGTTTATTGTTATTAATATTAATGTTTTTAAATGTATTGACACATCTAATGGAATGCATTTTAAATTTATTGTTTGGAACACATTAATGTATTTTTTAAACTGTAAGGTTCCATTAAGATTTCATTATTCTATGCCTGAAGAAGACAATCTGTAATTTTTGAAAGTATTTGTAATAATATTTCAAATAAATAATAATGCCAACAGACAGTATTAGTATTTTTCTTGCAGAGATTAAAGTTAGTGATTATAATTAGAATATTAGAATTTCTGAAGGCAGCAAATTAGACTAGTTTTTGTACTCAAATTGTCTTTTGTTGTGATGGGAGCTTGTATGGATCTGAGAGGTATTCGATTACTTAGTGCAAGTTCTTTGATGCAACGAAAACTTTTTTCAGTCAAATAGTTCCCAACTCATGCATTCAGGTATTCCATCTTCAGTTGGGATCATTTAAAATTAAACCTAATAACAAAATTTTTTACATACATTAAAGTGATTTTACTATAAAAAATGAACATAACTGTGTGACATTTATCTGGTATAGTTTAAAGATTTAAAAATAATGCTTAAAACCCATTCAAAATGGAAAAAATAGTCCAGTACTATACAATTCTAGTTTACACAGGTTTTACTGTAGGAAGAACTGTAAGAAAGCCTTAGTTTTATTAGAATAAAATACACTCTAAGAGAATTATAGTTTAATATACTTTTAAGAAAAGTGTAGAGGAACAAGGATTTTTTAAAAAACAAGATATCATCTCCTCAAAAAGTTTGAGAATCACTTGCTTATTGCATTCACAGATATTATCATCATCTAATGTTATTAAAATTAGCATGTCCCAAAATGTAAATTAAAATACACTTATTGTAATCAGAGTTTCAGTTATAGTTTATATTTTCTTCAGGTAAATAGGCTTTTTTAATGTGTCTTTCTATGTTGTAAGCCACAAAAGGCAGTTGTTGACACTCGTGATATTTATCAGTTATAATTATCATAATAGCAGATTTCATTGTGTGTATTTTGTATATGCCATCATTCTGTTTTAACTTGGTCATCACGAGAAATTATATGTGAAAAGTTAATAGAGATTATTTGTAAATATATGATTTTTAAGAATTATTATATTATCTAAGCAAAAAGTTTATTGTTATTTTCAGATTTGCAGTATTAAGGCGAACTAAGGGAACTCTTAAAGAGATCTTTGATATGGGTAAATTTGTTAAACAAAATATTACTGTAAAAATTTTAATTTAATAAATGTAAATATTTATAAAATAAGAAACTTTAAGTTTTAGAAATTACTTTTACATATAAAAATGTTCAGTACAGTAGAATATGGCAAATATTTATATTAAAACAGTCAATATTAACTTGAACAATTTGTAAATTTTCAAGTACTGATTTATTTAATAATTATTGCGAAAACTTTGAATGCAATTATTTTTTCTAGTTCATTAGTTTAATTTTATCTCTGAGAGAAAATTAAAAAATTCAAATTTTCCCCGAATACAGAAACAAAATTTCATGTAGTAACAAAACTGTTTTTCTCTTTGATTATTAGAACAATTTTACTATTTTTTTTTTATTTTGTGATTTTTGACTGTTTGGCCATATAATTTATAGAAGATTGCACTTTCCTAACTTTGATGTCAACAATAATCATCTCATTGAAATTGTTTTTTGTGATTACCATTCAGTAATCCAATGTGTAAAGAAAAATGGAGATATAAATACATCAGATATTATTTAAGAGATGTAATAATCTAGGATCTTGATTTTTTAAATGCATTGATAATTATAATTGGTCATCCAAAAATATGGATATGTCATTTTCACAAATTCATATTTTCAGAGCAATAGTGAGAAAAAACATGTTATGGATAGATCATCTGTACATTTTTTAAACATTTTATAATAGCCTATCATCTTTATAATGTACTGATTGTGTTTTTCTTTACTATTCCACTTGTATGAAAAAAAAAGATAGATTATAAATATAATTATATTAAATAGTGCATTTTATACACAAACTGTAATGCAAGCCACATGAAAAAAATGACGCACGCATTAAAAATATGGTGCCTTGTGTAGTCTTTGTGTAGTTTATAATAGTCTTTATATAGTTTAAAATAGTATATGTGGAAATAAAATGCTATAGATTTAAATTTTATCCATTATCAATGTTTTGATAGATAACTTGCTAAATATTCTGATTATCTAACATTTACTATAGTATTTCCCAGAAAAGAATGTTGCTTAGCTATTGTGGTAGAGGATACACATTTAAGACTCATCACATTGGCACCAAAGATAGAATAAAAACTATTTTACAATGTAATGATTGTACTATTATTTTTTTATTATTATTTCACTTGTAATAAAAAAAGAAGATAGATTATAATATGATTATATTAAATAATGTATGGTCATTCCATGCCAGCTGTATAAACCTCCATGCTTGACCAGTCTCAGATGAGATACAGATTAATACTGACAATCTTCTTCTGTGTCCTGTTTATAGAACTAATTAAGAATCTCAATTATCTATTTTTTCTTGAATTAAATATTTGAGCTGCTTGCTTTCTTTGTTTTTCTGATTACATAAATATGCTTTACAAGAATCAACCACTTTTAAGGTTACGGGCAATTTTTGTTTATTAGATATAATGAATGAAATGCTGTGCACAATTTATTGGAATCAAAATTAAGTCAGAAAGTGAGTATCACATATCATTAGTGCATTACTAAGATAAGAATATATTGTAATTTGCTAATGATTGTTTAAATGAAGAGCAGACTAATAAGTAGGCATTTAGACAGTTTTCAAAGACAAGCCAACAATTATCTTGAGGAATTGTGGTTCCTTGATGATGATATTACCAGTTCACTAAATTAGTAGTCACAAAGACACCATGGATCAATGTAAGGAATAATAATGTTCTATAATTCTAACTGTCAAGAAAACACAATTTGCTGTACTAAATATCCACTTTTTGAAGTTATTTTTCTCCCCTTAGGATGAACCAAAGATTGGAAACATGGATTCTGATAAAGGGCACTTTCTAATGATCCCAACAATAAAAAATCCAAAACAACGCAATTGGAAATATTTACCCTTCAAGATTGGTACCAATCAGCCATGGAGCATTTTTATGGTACTTAGCATATCTCTGCAAATTGGAAAGATCAAAATTTTTTGTTTTATGTGAGTGATGACAGCCATATGAATAATTAACAGTCAAACCAACATAAGATTGGCATGCTTGTTTTAGGAGTTATAAGGTTGCTGAAGTATGAATCCAGGTGTACCAAATCAATTTTCACTCCTAATTTATGGAAAAGTTATGCTAGGCCGAATGTGACTAACACATTGAATTCACAACAAAATGTTGTCCTAGGTCACCAAATTTAAAAATGTATGCTTAGTTCAGTGATGCACAATAGGACAACAAAGTTGATTATTTGTATGATGTGTGCATGGAGAAGAGTGGAGTGACCTCTATATCAAAGTCTCTATTTCAGAAATCACAAAACATTCAGATCTAATATTTTGTAGATCATAGTTCGAGACCATAAGTTATCTTACTGTGAATTTTGAACAAACTTGGACAAGGGTTGAGTGCAGAGATTTGTACTATTGGCATGGAATGATTCACTAAGAAAACCTTCAATTTTTTTAAAAGTTAGTTTAGAAAGAAAAGATGATGTAATAAGTTCTATTATATTAAAACTTAATTCAAGATGACTAAAAATGCAAATACATGTTTATATTTTTGTTAAAATTATGTGAAATGTTACACTGGCTTTACAGCACTATACCCAATAAAGTTTATTGGGCTTTCTTTTAAAATCTGATATATTAATCTTTATAGTAAAGGGGAAATTATCAATGATAAACTTCTGAATAAATTGGTGTATTTATAATTATTTATGCAGATATATAATGCAAAAATTTATTCAATTATTTCAAAAAGTAAGAAAATATTACTGAATTTTTAAAACAAAATTGTAAGATTAAATATTATCTGTAATAATTAGCATCTGAAAATTTAATATAAATAAACAAAAGCATGACTTAAATTTTTAATATTTGTATTAGAAAAAATTTTATTCTTGTCGATATTACTTTATTTAAACCATTTATATCAAGTAAAAAAATATTCTATTTAACATGTGTTAAATAAAATCATACATAATTTCAGATTTGTATGACTCTGAATAGAATAAATAGAAAATAAATAGAAAATAGAATAAATAGAAAAAAGTTTCTGCATTCACAAATGATTTCATTTAATTGACAACAAAGTGTGAATTATTCAAAATGATCTACAATTTAATTTCTTTTGAGTTTTAGTTAACTAAAACCCAAAATGCATTAATATTGTATTTTACTTTCCCAGCTGTTATGTATACATAACAAGAGAAAGGATGAGAATCGTGTCAAATTTGACCCTCAGAGTTTTTGCAAATCTCCAAGACACCACCTAAATCCAAAAAAGTAGAAAAAAAAAACAGCAAATTTTGCATGGTGGCTTGTATACAAGGGCATTGATGCCATTAAATTTTGGTGGTTAAAGGTCGAAGGGGTGGGGAGATAAAGGGGGTCATGTGTAACTCCATAGGGTTGGACTTAATGATAATTTTACTTGTTATTAACATTTATACTTTTTTTTTTATAAAACTCATCCCTACCCTCAAAATTAAACCTTTTGCCACTTTATAGTAATTAAAAATATAAAAAACTTTTTATAAGAAAATCTCATAACAGATGGGTCACATGCAATTTTATTAAGTTATATTGTAATTAAAATTATAAAAGCTATTTTATAAATAAGAACTTGTAATAGCCAGGAAAGTTATGCAACTCGTTGCTGGATTTTGGTTTTGCTCTGCATTTACATTATCTGTCATCATATAAATATTAATAGAAAATATAGTATAACAAAGGAACATATGAAGGAAAGTAAAAAAAAAAACTAAGTTGCCTTTTTACTTATTTATTTTGAATGTAAACAATTTACAATGCATAGATATGAAACAGATATAGGCATGAATTCATTTTTTTTCAGCATAGTGTTTTTTAATGCTTGACTTCTGGATGTCTTTATTAGACTATAAGTGCAGATACTTCTTTAACGGCACCATTAGATTTCCACTGGTCTCCAGTCAGTCAGAAGTTGTGTGGTGCACGATTATAAGCAGCAAAGGAAAAAAATTCACATTATTATGAGATTGCAACAGCAGCATTTCTCTATATTTTTACTGTTTTTCAAACTGAGAACATTTGAAGAATTGAATGTTAAGAAAATCTTTGATAATTGTCAGGAAATATATTTTGAAACTGAAAAAAATGCATTGTGTATTATTTAAATTACTTTTAGAATGCATGTTATATACCAAAAAATATCATTTATCATTAAAATATTCTTTTTTTTATAAATTATACAAACTATGAATTCATATATTTTAGGAAATAATTATTAAGTTTGATATAATCATAAAAAATGAATACTGTATTATAATTCACATTTACGATCAATTATTGTTCTGTTAATAACTGAAAATAGAAAGAAGCATAATACAATGATTTCAATGCTAAAATATTATCAATAAATATTTTAAATATTAAATATTGTATAAAATACAATAAATGATTTTTAAAATAAGTTAGGGTTTGATATTTTTAATTTGGTCTAATATAGTTTTAATAATAATTACAAATTGACCAGATAACTTAATTCTAAATACCATATTTTCTGTAATAATAACCTGTAGTCTAATAATTGCCAACATAAATATTCTTCTTATAATAATTGCCTATCTAACATGTGAGATAAACTGCACCAATTGACCTAAATACTGGTATATTAGCGGCATTTGACATTGTTATATAATTGACTATTGATGCAATATTTTCCGATATCGAAGTCAGAAAAATGAATAGTGGCTGATATTACTGATGCCGGAAAGTATTGAAATTTATGAAGGTAATCCGAGTATTTCATTCAAAATATTTTTAATGTATTTGTTATGATATTCTGATTTAACTAGTTTTATGTCTCTTGAAATTTTGTTTTTTCCATCTTAAAACAATAATTTTTTAACAATAAGCTTTTAATCCCTTTTTTAAGATATTTAATATTATACAAATATACTTTATTACACATAGGTAGAATGTTATTACAATGAAAGGATTATCACTAAGGCAACCCAAAAGCATATAAAGCAATATCTGAATCCAACCATAGGTTTCTTACCGAAACAGTGAGATGTGTGCATACCATACCATTTCCAGTTATTAAGCAATAAAGCAAAGTTTTGAATAAAGCAGAATTAAGAAATTGTGTCAAGGTTGCCATGTTTTTTCCCTGCAGCCCAGTCGAATTCCCACACTTTGTCTCTCCATACCTTATTGCTAATCGTAGCAACTTGTCAGCAAGATAGGAAGTATTTTGAGGGTTGTAGTAGCATACAGACACTTATGTCCAAATAAGCCAAAAATAGAGATTTTTCTCATTTTTATATATCCATGTGAAAATACAATATACATGTCTTGTTTACCATATTTCAGTTCTTTTTTATACTTTTCAAATTTATAGCTATTATTTTCGTGTGCCCTCTGTCTGTATCATTTTTACATATTACAAACTTCACCTTCATACCTAAAGATTTAATCATTTCCTTTCAGAAAAATTGCAGTTTTTTTGTATTTAATGCTATATAGAAATTTACTGTTTTTTTAAATAAAATATTTGTTTATTTTTAAATTTTTATTTTGGATAATTTTGAATTTTTTTATTTTCTCAGTTAAGTAATTAAAAAGGTAGCAACATGTTTTAAATTTTGGTAGCAAAAAAAGATAACTTTTTTTAAATGTAGCAACTTTTCATTCCAAATAGTTGGCAACATGACTCCCATCTTTCCAGGATCTGGTAATCATTAGTTATATCTGATACATTGCTGTAGAGATTTGAATAAACCAAATTTCTAATTAAATGTATTTCATTGTATCTTAAGATAATGCTCAAGACAACAGTTACAGCAGCTCTTTGATTACATGAATTTCACGATGAAGGGTTTGTAGTGGAAGGTGGAAATTTGTGGTGTGATTACTGCGATACTATGGTCAGCTATGAAAAAAATTCACTGCGAGTACACATATTGCAAGTGTGAAACATTGTACAGGTAAGAGTAGTAGCAGCAAGAAAAGAACCTTACTGTTTACTAGTAAACCTTTGAGATATCAAGACATGGTTTCCATATTCTGTTCTGTGAGAATACCCTTGCACATTTACCATTACAAAGGGTTCCAAAAGTGGATGAAGTCTAATTTAAAACTATCTCCAAATGAAAATTTGCCTAGTGAAAGCATCTTGTGCAGGATTTTCCCCAATGTTGGAAGTAAAGATTAAAGATTTAGACACTACTGCACAAATGTGTTGAAGTGCTGACATTCTGCTGATACTAGATGAGTATGAGTCGGTCAATGTGAAAAACAGGAAAGTTGTAAATACATTGGTTGTGCGCCTTCAAACCTACAAACCACACCATCTAGTGCAATCAAGATTGTAGAGAAGTGCAACAGTGATATCATTGTCAAAGAAGTGTTTGAATCTCTTAAACTTTTGAATGTTGAGTTAGAAAATTTTGTTGGATTTTTGACAGACAACACTCTGGCATGAGTTTCAAAGCAGTAACATTCATATACAGTGTGCATGAGATTGTTCCACACAACATGCTGGGTACATGTTACATATTTAGTTGCTGAAGAAGTACACACTAGGAACAGCATCCTGAACATTTCATCTCAGGGATGGAAGCAGCTCTAGTAAAGGCAGCAAATAGAGCTATCTGGAACAAATGCCTTCTATTTGCCAAGAACCACCCTTTGGCACTGCCACCTGTACCAGTTATTATTTGATGGGAGATGTGGCTAGAAGCAGTTTTGTACTACCATAAGAGGTGGGATGCTGTAGTGACATAGATTAGAGAAAATCAGATTATGGAAGAAGCAGTATTGCAAGAGCTTGGTGAGTTACTTGATCAGTTCAAACTTGAAGAACAGCTAAATGCAGTTGCAAGCCAAGCTGAAGCTTTATGTAACTTGATCAAGAAACTGGAGTCACGGCCTGGATGAAAATCAAGTGTTGTAGGAAATGATATTTGGCAAATTCTTAGAGGCATTCAGGAACTGTTGGTATCACTCAGAACATGTTTGAAGCTCAAACTTTATCTAAGTGGCAAACATCCAGCAAGGTAGTTTTGGAAATAGCTTGAAGTCCATCTAAATCATAACCAAGCAATGGACAGTATAACTTCTCAATTGTTCAGATTCTCCAAGAAAGAGGTACCAAAGGAAGAGATAGCATACTACAATGCTTTGATCAACAATAAAAACAAAGCAGTGTGCGATGATATAATAAATTTCTGGAAGCACTCTACCAGGGAAATGCCAATTTTGATTCAGCTGGTATTAAAAGCTCTGCCAGTTCCTACTAGTAGTGTGGATGTAAAGAGGCATTTTTCTAACCTGAGCCATGTTCTCATACTGAAGAGATCATCATTTACCAAGGAAAATTTGGACATTCATATTCATCTCATGTTCAACTCAGTTGATCTATCGGAGTAGTATTGAGAATCAGGTAAACCAATAAAAATGCAAAGAAAATTTGTGTGCTGAATGCAAGTGTAATTTAAAAAGAATAAATAAATTAGGCAGAATAAAGCAGAAAATTTCTGCCATAAAGCATAATATAGCAAAATTTTTATTTTTAAAGCAGACTGTGATAACACTTTCATTGTAATAATAATCTCCATATGTGTAATGAAGTATACTTGTATTAAATATTATTTTTTACTCCAATAATTGTCCAC